TCTACATTGTCCTCCAATAACAAAAAAGCTATTAAAACTTTATTTTAATTCTCCAAATTGAAAGTATTTATGTAATCCCTTTACATGTTGCTATGTGTAACTTTACTTAACTTTATTACTATTACTAATTTTACTTTTATTTAATTATTTTAAATCTATTATTATTATATTTGTTCAAACCCCTGGCTATTGTTCACCAAAAATTTTACTTATCTATTTTTGTATATTATAAAGAATATTCTAATTAAGTTTATAAAAATAATTTCAAAAAAAATATACCACGGCACTGCCATTTTGAAATAAGATTCCTCTGTTTGAGTGACCTGAAAATACACAAGATGAAAGGTCACATCTGGTGTGTTTGGGTGCATTACAGGAGATATAGGCAAGTTTATTATCTACAAATCAAAACACATCTTCCTTTTTTGAACATTAACTCTGTTGAAACACTGCTAAGTGAAAAGAGTCTAATTATTGCAGCATATTCATATCTTCAATAAACAGGAAGTTATTTAAGATTTGTTAACACTGATCAAAATGAAACATAGTTTTGACCTGAAAACTAAGAGGAGATCAACCACAACACTTTAGGACAACAGCTTCTACAAATACATATTTCCAAAAATACACTTATGGATAGAGAACAGGTTTGTTTATAATTATGGCATGTTTTAATACTCTTAAAAGAGTACTTATATTTTTTTAACAGAGGGTTCACACATTTCAGCAGAGGTTGTTTTTTTTCTTAGATACTCATAAATTGTGCCATCTAGTGGCGTCAGAGTTACATTACACATGAGAAACAAACAAGAAAAAAGGGGTGGATGGAACAAACATTTAAAAATTGTAATACTGTTTTCTTCATTTGGTTCTACCCTAATGCTGTTGATCAAGGTTTAGATTTACAGTGAGGAAATTTATTTGAACATTTTGCAAGTTCTCCCACTTAGAATCATGGAGGGGTCTAAAATTGTCAGGTGCATTGTCTACTGTGAGAGACATAATCTTAAAAAGAAAGTAAAGAAATTTCAAGGTATGATTTTTTTAACTATGTATTTGTATGATGCAGTTGCAAATAATTATTTGAACACCTGAGAAAAATCAATATATTCGGTACAGTAGCCTTTGTCGGCATTTTCAGAGGTCAAACATTTCCTGTAGTTTTTCAGCAGGTTTGCACACACCGCAGGAGGGATTTTGGCCCACTCCTCCACATAGATCTTCTCTAGATCAGTCAGGTTTCTGAGACACAGAGTTTGAGCTCCCTCCAAAGATTCTCTATTGGGTTTAGGTCTGGCTAAGCCATGCCAGAACCTTATTGTGCTTCTTCCAGAGCCACTCCTTGGTTATCCTGGCTGTCTGCTTCGGGTCATTGTCGTGTTGGAAGACCCAGCATCGACTCATCTTCAATGCTCTAACTGAGGTAAGGAAGTTGTTCTCCAAACACTCCCAATACATGGCAGGGGTCATCCTCTCCTTAATACAGTACAGTCACCATGTCCCACATACAGAAAAACACCCCCAAAGCATGATGCTACCACCCCCATGCTTCACAGTAGGGATGTTCGTGGGATGGCACTCATCATTCCACTTCCTCCAAACACGATTAGTTGAATTATGACCAAAAAGTTCTATTTTTGTCTCATCTGACTCCTCTGGATCATCCAAATGGTCACTGGCAAACTTAAGGCGGGCCTTGACATGTGCTGGTTTAAGCAAGGGAACCTTCCGTGTCACACATGATTTCAAACCATGATGTCTTACTGTATTACCACCAATAACCATGGAAACGGTGGTCCCAGCTCATTTCAGGACATTGACCAGCTCCTCCTGTGTAGTTCTGAGCCGATTTCTCACCTTTCTTAGGTTTATTGAGACCCCATGAGGATCTTGGATAGAGCCCCAGTCTGAGGGAGATTGACAGTCATGTTTAGCTGCTTCCATTTTCAAATTATTTTTGCTCCAACAGTGGACCTTTTTGTTGACCAAGCTGCTTGGCAATTTCTTCTTTCCTGCCTTGTGGAGGTGTAAACTTTTGTCTCTAGTGTCCTTGGATAGCTCTTTGGTCTTGGCCATGTTAGTAGTTGGATTATTACTGATTATTTGGGGTGAACAGGTGTCTTTATGCAGCTAACGACCTCAAACAGGTGTATCTAATTTAGGATAATAAATGGAGAGGAGGTGGTCATTTTGAAGGCCGACTAACAGGTTTTTGAGGGTCAGAATTCTAGCCGATGACAGGTGTTCCAATGCTTATTTCCAGCTGCATCATACAAATAAACAGTTACAAAATTAATATATGGGGATTTCTGGAGTTATTGTTTTAAATTATGCCTCTCACAATGGACATGCAATTACGATTACAAGATCAGACTCCTCCATGATTTCTATGTTGGAGAGCTTGCAGAATAGCTTAAAGGTGTTGCTAATTTTATCTTCGATTATCACAGGTGCTCTTGCGATGCAACAGGTGATATTTATTTCATCACATTAAAAAAGCAAAAAGGGGAGTGGCTAAAAACGTGCAAGGTAAAGGATGATTTCAAAACATTTTCAATGTCATATTTTAACAATACAACATAATGAGTTTTACATTGTACATGGCCAGTTCCTAATAAATTATGATATTTTAGATCATTATCAGCCATTATTATTAACCTTGTTTTTTTATTTTTATTTTATTTAATGTGCAGTCTTTAAAAAGGGGTTTGGGTTTTTTTAGTAAAATATATATATTTATATTGGAAAATTGACTTAAACCAACCAAATCAATTTTTTTTCTTTTCTTGAATGTTTGCTTTATTTAGTATAAACACATAAAGACTGTGTTATATGACCAATAGTTTAAAAAACAAAAAGTTATACATGCATTTTAATCTGCAGATATGTTTGATAATCAGCTGTAAGATTACAGTGCACAATTTCCTGTTACAGGATATGTTATTTTATATCAAGTTTTTCGATCTGCCAGAACGGAAGAATGAAACCGAGCCATGCTGCCTTGTGCAGAGGAGTATACGTGCATCAGCGAAGTAAACAGGAGACACTGCAAATCAGTAACAGAGCTGCTGAGCTCAGCTGCTGTCTGAACTGGGACTTTTATCGCATGCACAGATCCGTTTCTGGCATCTCCCGACGCTGATCGGGCATTTTTTTACTGAGGAGTGCAAACAATCAGTGCTGCTATTCCAAATAAAAAAGGGGGGAGAAAGTCCACCTGGACAAACAATGTAGAGTGAAATCATAGAGTTGCAAACTCTTTGACTTCCAATGAGATTCTGCTAAAATGCCAATGTGGATCTATTCCTCATTAAACCATTTGATTGCAAGAAAATGTTTAGAAGATGGAGAAAAAAAATGCTTCCAAGTATATAATAGTTGAACAATCCTTGATTAACTCATTACAAAAAGGTTAAAGATACAAAAATGGCTTCTCTCTTGCCGGTACCAGCTGGTTCTCCCCTCTAAGTTTTAATTGCAGCAGGATCTTATGATTTTCATCACATAAGCCCACAAAGGAACAGTGGTTTCTGCTCCATCATGAGTGCAGCTGACCTTTAATCTCCTTATGTGCATATCTGGATTAAAGTCTCCCCAACTACGGTGCTTTTATTCTCTCTATTGTTCAGAGCTATCAGTCATGGAGTTGGTGCTTTGTCAGATTTTTTTTTCCTCCAATTATCACGTGAAACCTTTTGGTGATTTTGCTGCAGCTTATGTAAAATGAAGTGGAAAAGGATCAAGGTAGAGGTAAAAGGGAGAAAGCGGTGTGAAACTCACATGACATAAAACCCTTTCTGAAATGGACTGTTAATAGAACCTTTTTTGTGCTTTTTTTGATGATCTCGTGGCTGATATGAATACAGCACTTACTACAATCCCAACTGTGACCTTCACAGAAACTAATGAGCTGATATACAGTGATTCTTGAGTTGCTTGGCCAAGATAAAGTCAAGAATGCCCAAGAGAACAATATCCACCATGGCTGAGAACTCACAGTAGCAGATTCCCTCACTATCTGTCGTCTTTTGCCGACCCACGTTTTTGTCCAAGAGCATATATACTGGACCATTTAAGATATCTCAAAAATCCAAAATGTATCAGAAAGCAGAGAAAAGGACATGCAATCTTGCTGTTCTAATTACGGTAGCATTTATGACTTCAGCAGCGAATCGACTATCCAATCACAGACCTGATTCGGGTGTTTGTAAAGTGAGCTTCTCGGGAGTGACAGTGTTGACAGCAAATAACACACGAAAAGATGGAAGGTCAATCAGGAGCTTGTGCACTGGAAAAACGATCTAGAAATTTGTTAAATTTTCCTAAATTAAATGTATTTACCCTTAATTTGAGTAGGTAAATCAGACAGTTTGCCAATGGAATTAATATTTTTACTCTTAAAATAAGATAATTAGATAATATGAACTTGAAATAAGACAATTCAATTGTGTTTTCTGTTCCATTGGTAAAATTACAACAATAATAACTGGACAATTGAACTTTATTAATCTTCCGGGGCTAAGGGTCTTGCCCAGGGACCCAGAGTGGAGGCTGTGGGGATTGAACCGGCAACTTGCAACCTTTTCAAAGCACAAGCTCACTGCTCTAACCTCTAGACCAACACTCCTTGCCATAGTCATTCAATGCATTAGCCATTAAGACTTTTTTGTTATATATTTGATACTTTAAATCAATATTTATTTTAAGTAAATATATTTACGTTCACTAATTGAATTTAATTGAATTGTCAAATTGTTGTTGAAATATATAGATCTATAAATCTTGTCATAAAATATACATAGCAGGATTAAATATGTTAGTTTAAACTTAATTTTAACCCTCCATTAAACAGACTAGTGGCTCTCTCCCTTTAAGAAAGCTGTGAATTCATGAATGAAACGCAGCCATTCATAAAAAGCAGAAGAAGAAGACGTCAGCACTGTGTTAAATCTGATTGGCTGAATTCTTGTCTGACGCCTTTCTGAGCCAATGGGAGGTATGTACTGCGCTTCGATTATCTTAGAGCTCTTCATTGAGAAAAATCCACAGCCGAGTGTTTATTCGAGGAGCTGCAGGCGATGTACGGGGGGGGCGAAATCGCAACCACTTGTATTTAAGTCACTCTTCCAAAACGAACTTCACTAAACAGGTATGTTTTGCATTTTAATACCGAAGTTTTTTTTTGTTTGTTTTAAAAAAAAAACTGTTTCTGTTTTTGCCGTGATTAGTCTATCTGGGCGAACCGCAGCGTCGCGGTTTGTTGCTGGCTGTGAAGGGAGCAGATACGGGGTTAAAGAGGCGAACGCCATTTTCTAACAATCAAAGGCAACATGCGTCCATTTCCCCGCATATACCGGCCAGGCGGGCCACCGTTTCCGTTTGCATTTGTTTACATTTTTGCTCTTTTAGCTTTGTGACTAATTCAGTGTGGTACATTTCTAAATGGTGAGCTGCCCCCCTCCTTCTTCATCTCCTCCTCCTCCTGCTGAGGATCAAGTTTCACTTCATTGAGAAAAACAAGGAGGTCCCATAGCGGTCAGCGCTTTCTCTGCTTCCTACGCCAAACTCCATTCAAAATTCTGCTAATTTTACGTTCGGCTCTGTTACATAAGTCTACCTTGACTCTTTTCATTTTTTTCACAAAAAGTTCACAATATTGTAATAAACTGCAACAAAATTTTTTGTTTCATAGAATTAATTCTTAAAAAAAGCTAATGCACAGTTCAATTTCAATGTGTTTTGGGGGGGATTTTAGGTCATAGATCCAGTAAAAGATGGGGATAGTTTTATTTTTTTTGTCTTCTTTTTTTTTTTTTTAGATGGAAGCATATTATAAATACAAAAAAAAAAAATGAAAGTATGGTCTTCAGTTTCCTTATTAAAACAACTGTGTTATGGATGTATATCTGCTGTATCATGAAGACCCAGACAGGGCTATCAATATAAAGCAAGAAGAAGGGCTGAGAAGCACCCAAAGGGCCCTTTTGTGTCTCTGTAGATAGGAATTACAATTGTGAACTCCATAAATCCTGCTTTTGTAGAAGAATCAAGAGGAAAGCCACAAGAAGTCGTATTTCCAACCACATCAAAGGTCGCTTAGAGTACACAGTAAACATATGGAGTAGGACTCCTAAAACTGTTCATTCTGGAGCAAAAAATTATGTTCATTTCAAAAATGCTTTATTACTACAGAGGAATTAAATGCTACAGTAATTCATAGGTTGTTGTTTTTTTTCATCGATTTGTTGTAGGTTTTGATAGCTGTAAGCTTATCTGTAGTGGTTTGTCTTCCACCGCATCTTTAGAAGCCTCTTAATAAAGACACTTTGTTGTTTAGAAATCTTCTGAAGAGGATGCTCACCATTTTCCATAATCCTCCTCACCTAATTGAGAATAATATAATCAGAGTAGGGTTTATTGGGCTATACTATAGCCAGAGAAAAGGAACTTCGAGAAAAAAAATGGATCTAATTCAATTCATTTTTATTGTTATTTGACTAGGGGGGGATTTCAAGGCCACTGGTGGAAGAGCCCAAAGATGAAAGACGTGTTTTCTTATCCAGGTTTTCCGCGGGTCATTAAAAGTCATTAAATTATAATTTTTTTTTAATTAAGGCCTTAATTGCATTAAAGTTCCTTAAATGTGATTATTGTGCCATTAAAAAAAACTTTGTTTAAAAAAAAAAAAAGCTCATAAAAGCAATTTAGTCAGATATATTATATCAACATATTTGTGCGGAACTGCTTCTGGTTGATCGTAAAGCCGTATGTTAAAAGAAAAAGAAGAGAATCGGGGGAAAATGCTAATTTCAGCAAAAATGGCTCATGGGTACTTGTTGATGGCATTAAAATTATTTCTAAGAGCATAAAAAAAAGCATTAAATTAGACTTACTGATTCCTGTATAAACCCTGTAATCAACCCTCTCCCGCCTCTACATATCAATCTTCCTAAATGCTTATAACTCACCTCACTCACAGCTTTCCTTTCCAGTGGAGCTTTTAGATGCACTGATAAGCATACTAGTCCTTGAAGTTAGAAAAACGAAAACCAATTGAGTCCCTTTAAGCTGATGGTTGTTATACCAAGTGATGCATTTAAGTGTTTACCTAATATATCCCCCTTATGCCGTCCTCCACAGTGAAGACCACCGAAACATGGATGGCTTTTATGACCAGCAGGTCCCTTTTATGGTGCCTGAGAGTGTGAGTTTTTAAACTGCCAGTTTTTATTTGACAGATTTATTGGGTTTGCCCGTTTTAATATGAGTGGTTTCTGTTGTAGAAATGCCACACAGTTGAGGAGAGGAGTCTCACTGACAGGCGGAGGAGGTTCTTGGACAGAGAGTTGGCTCAGGACACAGAAGGTAAGTCACCTTGTTTTCTTCTCTCTGCGCTTGACATTTCTAAATGTAGCATCCTCATCCATAAATACGATCAATGCGTGTGTTTTAGAGCTTTTTCAGGATCTGAGCCAGCTCCAGGAAATATGGATTGCAGAAGGTAAGAAAATAAAAGAAACAAAGCTAACATTGCTAAAATAGAATCAACAAAGACTAGAAATAAAGCTAAAAATGACTGCATAAATAGTTTCTTTTTTCCTCTCAGCATCTTGCTGCTCTTTAATCATCCTCTCTTCTTCTGTCTGACAGCTCAGGCTCCTGATGACGAGCAGTTTGTCCCAGATTTCCAGTCCAATAACTGTGAGTAACCACCTCTCCTCTCAAAAAATCCTAGATGTCACCCTCGGTTACACAATAAATGGTGGCGATTTATCATGCAAACATGCATTCAGGTTGAGAGCCCTATATGCAAATTGTGTTTCCTTGCATAACAGAGATCTATTCTTGAACACAAACCATTAAAACTGAATAATCAAGTCATTTAGTTTCCTGCCGTTGCTGCAGATATATATTTAGTCTTATCCTGTTGTTGCAAATTGCAGATGATGTGTGAGTGGCTGAAAATAGTTTGAGCCAAATAGTCCTGCCCACTCAGTGGAGGAAAATAAACGTCTCTCTAGATAAAGAGCTTATTATGATTTCACTCTTTATTTTGGAGAGAAAAAGAGCCGATGGACTGTTTTTTATTATAAGTGCTTAAAATAATTAAAAGGGGTTTATTGGAAGATGTGGGAAAGTATGAATCTAATTTGAAAATAATGTAAAAAGTAATTGATCTAGAAATGACAGGTTTAGCTTTATAAATACACCAAAATATTACAAAAAAACACAAAGTAGGCCTTTATAATCTTATAATCTTTATAATTTTTAAAATATATTATGACTTTATGCTAATGAAGTGCACAATTGTTTTTTTTTATTTATTTATTTAAACATGAAGTAAAACACTAATAGAATATCTGTACCAGAGTATCTGTATCATCATTATTATTATTATTACATACAGTATATTTTATGACCTAGATCTGGTGTCTGGATCCTTTGAAATCCTAAAAGCTATTTTTCCAGCCAAATAGAAATTATTTAGATTAAATTTGACCTTTGATTCTGATAAATATCTGCTATAAAAACTATGTTTTTCGTATATTTTATTTAAGAAATGAGGAAAAGCATAACCTGCATGGATTTTCTTCAATAGGATGTTGATATTTGTTGAAAATTAGGTCAAATATTAAAAAAATGTCCAAAATAATCACAAAATAGCAGATCTAAATGTAATTTCTACATTTGTGTGATCATTTTTTAAAATCTTTTTGCTGCTGTAAACACCAGAATGTCCCAATTGTGAGACGATAAAGGGATTTTCTATTCTATTTTGTTGGGAAAGTTCACTTCAGAAATTCTTTTTAAAAAAAAAGCTAAAACATCCAAGATTGATGTTATTACGCCGTATTTAAAACCTTTAGTTGGTTCATTTTATCAGCCATTAGGAGCCGTAACAGAGGATCCAAAGAGCCCCAGGTTGCAGACACGTGCCCTAGATGAACCCAGTTGACCCTTCTGACTCCGTCGTCGCATGCAGTTATGTTTACATTAATGATAGAAGTCACGAGGACAGGAAAGGAGGGGGTCATAAAAAACATCCAGAGCTTGTGTTTCCACCTTTGGAAAATATAGCCGCTGATAAGATATGAATGAATAGGAAAAAAAAACATTAGATGCATTTGACGCAATGAGGGCAACAGAACGGCTCGAAGCCATAAAGCCGACGTGGAAACATCCGCTGCCTGTTGGCGTCACTCTGATTTCAATCTGAAGGCTCCTTCGAGGAAAGCTGAATCGCACCATGTGATCCCAAGAGGATCGATTGCTGTAGAATATAGTAGATAGAAAGTCTAAGCTTTGTTCCTGTAATGTCTTTGCAGCGACGCTTCACAGCCCACATGTCAGCAAAGTGAAGCGAGAGCCCAGTCCGTCCAAAGATCTGTCCCCCTGCGGGACCCCCCAGGCTGATATGTGCCTTTACAGTTACAGGTATCATATCAGTGTTTAACATCAACCAACATGATGCTGGGTTTCTCTGCTTCACCTCACCTTTATGTTGTCCCCCTCTCAGTGCCTGTGAAAATAAACCAGGTCCGGCTAACGCACCTGTAAAGCAGCGTAGCTCCATCCACTCCGCTGGACCCCCACCCATACGGAGGCAGCTTCAGCCATCCCCGCCTCATATGACCGGCCAAACTCCAGCCTCCAGCCCCTTCCACCGCCAAAATCTCCCCCAGTCCAACCCAAACCAGCAGTTCGCTCTGCCCTGTAACCCCGTCGGCTGCTCAGGGGCGTCTTTCAATCCAGAGCAAAGGTAACCTGATTATTACCTGAATATTTGTGGTTTTAAGTTCTCAGAGGCACCTCAAACGTTTTTCCTTCATTTCAGGTTCCACCGGCAAATGTCAGATCCCTGTTTGCCCTTCCTGGCTCCAGAGAAAACTGCAAACAAGCCGTACCACCCTTCAGGTTGCGACGGCCGGCCGATGTACCAGCGTCACCTGTCGGAGCCCCTCACCCCGCTCCCTCCTCATGGTTTCAAACAGGAGCTGGTGGATCCACGATATCCAGATGCCGGGCCGGCGGGTTCTAGCCTGACCCCGCCCCAAACCGCCTTCAACCACGTCAAAATCAAACAGGAGCCGAGAGACTTCGGCTTTGAACCCGGTACTGTTCAGATGTTAATCTTGTGATTTCACATTAACAGTTTGTTAATGTCATTTTTAAATTCTTCGGCATCATCAGGCCTTAAAAAGGCCAGTTCAACTTTTTAAACTACTGTTTTCCTCTGGTATTATAATTCTACTCCTATTTATTTAGCAGCTTTTGCCACTTTTTATTTTTATTTAATTTTTTTTAATGGACCGATACAGGGTTTATCTAAGACAGATTCTAATAACGATAATTTTTGACTCTTATATCCGTTTCTTCCTCCATTTACATGATAAAAAATTTATGTTGAACCTAAATAAATCCAACAGCAATGATTTCAAATGGAAAAAAGGCAAATACACACACTTTATGTATGTGTACTTGCTTATGTTTATTGCTTATGTTTATGTATACCTTTAAGAGTACTTGTACTCTTAAAGGTATATTTGAGGATTTTTGCAAATATTTTTTAAAGACCTGCCCTATCCACTTAAAAAAAATGTACATGCACAACCCTGTACCTGCTCCATAGAGGGAACACCTATTAAAGGCTGTGCAGAGCATGCAGAGCCCATTTCTCCTCATATGCACGCCATGTTTAAAAGTTGCTGGTCAAGTAACTCCTCCTCCACTGGGCGTTGCCTGCTCCATCTTTATTAATTGCTGCTGTCAGGTGGCGACAGCGGGCCGCTGTAACAGCAAATCCTATAATGATTTGCGAGGAGAGCTCTCTGCGCAAAGCATTCTGGGATATATCTGCCTCTTCTGAGGCCTCTCTTTTCATATGCTTCATAGACACTTTTTCTCTTATGACCCTCTGCCATTTTCAAAGAACAGCAGTGAGAAAGTTGAGCTTCGATGACTGCCTGAAACTATAGCTCACCACATACACTCACCGGCCACTTTATTAGGTACCCCATGCTAGTAACTGGTTGGACCTCCTTTTGCCTTCAGAACTGCCTCAATTCTTGGTGGCATAGATTCAACAAGGTGCTTGAAGCATTCCTCAGGGAGTTTGGTCCATATTGACATGATGGCATCACACAGTTGCCGCAGATTTGTCGGCTGCACATCCATGATGCGAATCTCCCGTTCCACCACATCCCAAAGATGCTCTATTGGATTGAGATCTGGTGACTGTGGAGGCCATTTGAGTACAGTGAACTCATTGTCATGTTCAAGAAACCAGTCTGAGATGATTCCAGCTTTATGACATGGCGCATTATCCTGCTGAAAGTAGCCATCAGAAGTTGGGTACATTGTGGTCATAAAGGGATGGACATGGTCAGCAACAATACTCAGGTAGGCTGTGGCGTTGCAACGATGCTCAATTGGTACCAAGGGGCCCAAAGAGTGCCAAGAAAATATTCCCCACACCATGACACCACCACCACCAGCCTGAACCGTTGATACAAGGCAGGATGGATCCATGCTTTCATGTTGTAGACGCCAAATTCTGACCCTACCATCCGAATGTTGCAGCAGAAATCGAGACTCATCAGACCAGGCAACATTTTTCCAATCTTCTATTGTCCAATTTCCATGAGCTTGTGCAAATTGTAGCCTCAGTTTCCTGTTCTTAGCTGAAAGGAGTGGCACCCAGTGTGGTCTTCTGCTGCTGTAGCCCATCTGCCTCAAAGTTCGACGTACTGTGCGTTCAGAGATGCTCTTCTGCCCACCTTGGTTGTAACGGGTGGTTATTTGATTCACTGTTGCCCTTCTATCAGCTCGAACCAGTCTGGCCATTCTCCTCTGACCTCTGGCATCAACAAGGCATTTCCGCCCACAGAACTGCCGCTCACTGGATGTTTTTTCTTTTTCGGACCATTCTCTGTAAACCCTAGAGATGGTTGTGCATGAAAATCCCAGTAGATCAGCAGTTTCTGAAATACTCAGGCCAGCCCTTCTGGCACCAACAATCATGCCACGTTCAAAGTTACTCAAATCACCTTTCTTCCCCATACTGATGCTCGGTTTGAACTCCAGGAGATTGTCTTGACCATGTCTACATGCCTAAATGCACTGAGTTGCCGCCATGTGATTGGCTGCTTAGAAATTAAGTGTTAACGAGCAGTTAGACAGGTGTACCTAATAAAGTGGCCGGTGAGTGTATATATGTCTGAAAGTGCGCGTGCGCAGAAAAAGATAGCCAACAGGTCGAGCACGTAAGACAGCCCTATGTAAACATATCATCAGAATGATTGACAATTAGGAGGACCACTTATTTAGATGATCCACCCGGAAAAAGAACATCCTTCACTATATCTTAAAGCAATTTTTGCTGAATTCACTAATTAATAGGTGAACACACACATGCCCAGGTTGATGCCGATAAAAGAAAAAAAATTGCTAAAAAAAAAAAAACAATCCATTGGTTCATCTCTGATCTATTTTATGACAATATAACTTTTCTGGCCCTTGAGGGCTTTATGATTGGCTATGAAGGGCCAGATTTGGCACTTGTGGTCTAAATAACCCATCCTAAACACTTTATGAAAGCTATAAAGAAAACCGATGAGTCATCTTTTGTTTTTGTTTTTTTCAGAAGTTCAAACCTGCCAGTCATCTTTTGGAAAGTCTCCAGTTTCGTTTCAGAAAAGCGGCGCCGGTGAGTTATTTACCTGGTCCAAACCATGGAGAAACAAAAGTAGCAAAATATTTGAAAAATGTTCAAAACCAGGAAAAGATAAGAATTGGCTGCAACTTTCGTCTCCAATTTTAATGAATTTGCTTAAATTAAAGTAATTTTGTAGAATTTTCAAAACTTCTCAGTAGAGCTTGTGTTTCTGTATACTGTTTTTTTTTTTTTTATATTAATTAAAACCTTAAAATAATTCTTAAGCTTCATTATGAATAATACACGTTTGTTTAATATATCTTCTAAAATCTTTGCATTCGATTTTTTGATTCTTGCTGGATACAGAAATGCCACAAATAAATAAACCAATAGTTTCCAAAACATTATAAATGATTAATAAATACCAAAATGCTTAGTTTGTGAAATTATATTAATTAAGTTGTCAATGGCTGATATACATTGCATGTATGTTGTATGTATGTTTTTTGTGTCAGTGTCTATTAATTCTTTATTAGATTATTAAGTTTTTATTGCATGTAAGGTTTTACACATGTGTAAAGTTATTTATTTGAGAAATTGGAGCATTTTAGTGGCATCATGGCTCTAACTTGACCAGTGGTGCCAGTAATGGCATCAATTTAGCATTTCATCCCATTATGCCCCGCCAACTAAGTAACATTAAAAATCACACAATAAACCAAGAGATGAGTGGGTGTTTATTTAATTCATTATGATTTCTACAGGCAGGTTTAACACAATAATAGATTCAAACCCTGAAATCATTTATTTTGCAGGATTTGGTTCTGACAGAGAGCCTGTTAGGTACTATGACGACACCTGCGTTGTCCCAGAAAGACTGGAAAGTATGTCGACTATACAGAGTTAAAAAATATCTTTTTTCTTTTGGTAATCAGTTGAGCTTGATTGTTCTGAGATGAGTACAGTCAGCATTTTCTTTTTGAACCCAGCTAAAGTGAAGCAGGAGGGTTTGCCGTACCAACGCCGCGGTTCCCTGCAGCTCTGGCAGTTTCTGCTAACGCTGCTCGACAATCCGGCAAATGCACACCTGATTGTGTGGACGGGGCGCAACATGGAGTTTAAACTGATCGATCCGGAAGAGGTGAAGCTTTTAGATTGATTTTGAACAATTTATCAGAATAAAGTTTAGATTCTAACTGGACTTTATGCATTAATTTTTTTTATTTTTATTTTTTAATCCAGGTGGCTCGCCTTTGGGGCATCCAGAAAAACCGACCAGCCATGAACTACGACAAACTGAGCCGCTCACTGCGGTACTACTACGAAAAGGGCATCATGCAGAAGGTAAAGGCGAGTCACATTTCCTTTCTTCCTTTTTCACAGCTTCATAGGATTCTTTCTCTTTTCTTTAAAGATTTTTGTTTGTTTGTTTAAATACTTCTTTCTCATGCAGGTTGCCGGGGAAAGGTACGTCTACAAATTTGTGTGCAACCCCGACGCACTGTTCTCCATGGCCTTCTTGGAAAACCAGAGGCCCAGTCTGAAAGCCGACCTTGACGCCATCCTGCCCCCTAGCGAAGAGGACGGCTTCCCCCTCCCTAGCTACGAGGAGGAAGGGCCTTACTTGGTGGACGGTGGGGAGCAGTGCGTCCAGGGGCTGGGTTTCCCCGACAGCTACCCATACTAGTCAGCAGCTCAAAGGAAAAAAAAAAACGGCAAAACCTTAACGACACAGCTACATTTCAGATAAGAGATTTAATTCTGATCTGTATTCTAACAAGAGATTTTGTTCTTTATTAAAAATTTCAATGCAACGACAACGCTGAAAATCTGTTAGTCTCTAAGACTGTTAAACTCACTCCCACGAAGAAAAACGCAACTACTTCCCAAACTTAAGTTCTCATTCAAATGGTTGTCTGGATACATTCCAAGGTTTAAACAGGGATTAAAAGAAAGGCTGCATTTTCAGAGAAGGAAGGCTGCAAGTTTTTTTTTTTTTTTCTTTCTTTTTAACAACTCAGTGTAGCTTCATGACGGTTTAAATTAAACAAGAAATAAGAGGTTTAATAGGAGGAGTCGACAAGAGAAGGATCAACCTTTCAACTATTTTAATTCTGCATCAAAGAAATGCAAATATTTAAGTGGCAGTTCTTGACTAAACGGTGCCCTAAGTGCAAATTCACTCATTCATACTTTTTGTTTTTTTTTTCTTGCCAAATTACTATTTGTTTTCTTTTTTTTTTATTCTTACGATTAAAGTATTACATTAAGTTCATTTGTTATTTCAGTTCAGGCTGAGTTGTGTATATGCTTGTCTCAGATCTGGTTTAGTCCCAACACCTAATGCCACACATTTGATTCCCCATCAAGGAATCCTTGTAGTTTATTTACAATGTTTTTTACTTTAATCATACAGTGCCGCTGTAGGTACCAGATCTGCTCGCCCGTGACATTGCAATATATGATTTGCTGAACGTTGCCACATGATGTAAAACGTTGTGGTTGCCCAGACAACGCGCAGCATCTGTGTGCAACATCTGTAACGTTAGCGTGTCTAATGAGCGATGTTTTACCTGATGGATAGTGAAACTGAAAGAAAATGTTAATGTTGAACAAAGTAACTGGTAAAAGTATAAAGGGGAAGAGCTGGGTAGCTCTGTGGCTAGCTGTGGTCAATAGCTAACAGGTTAGCCTGTTTTAGCTTAGTCAGTTAGCCATATTAAGCTCCATTACTTTTAACTTCATGTCAAAAACCACCATTTGTCTTTTACAAGTAGAACTTTTTTTGTGTCTAAAATCTCCACGAAAATCCTTTTTAAGATGTTTGATTTCTCCTCCCCTGCCCTCAGATCTTAATAAAAAGATTAAAGATAAGCTGAGACTTATTGTGTCACCTTGTTAAATAGATCCTTTAAGTCTGGCAATGGCTGTTTTTTTTTTTTTTTTTTTGTTGATTTGTTTTTTTTTTTTTACTTTCGGCTACTTTAGATCTGTGGGTAATAATATGTTGAGACTCTAGAAGAGATCTGATTCTTAAGAAATGGGTGCAATACAATCCAAATGGAGTTGCCGTATTATGATGTCATAATAAGGGGCAGGGCCCCGAGTTGATCTGGTACCTACATTGCCCCCTCCGGATCATACGCCACATTTCTTATACCCAGAACTGCCACTGCCAAGTTTCCTTTTTTGAAAAGAAACAAAACATGCATAATAGTAATCTAATTCAAAGCTAATATTTGTAGCTATATATATTCTTGTCAGACTTTGAAGTTTTGAGCCTTCTCAAATTTCTGCTGCACTTAAACACAGATATGCATTTTTGTTGTGGCATCGACTCTTTACGACCGTTTCAGATGTCTTTTTCTGTTTTAGTGTTTTATATTGTGGTAATTTTTGTAGCATGGCCATCGCTTTGGTTCTCACGTTTGTAAACTCTGGGACCTTTTTATCGCAGCCAAAAACAAAAATCTTAAAGCCATGGCACTCCTTTTACTAATTTAGTAAGCTTTTTATTCCTTAGGTAATACCCAGTCTGCTCGAAAGGGACACACTTGTATTTTTTGGGAACTTATAATCCTGAGACGTCTATATTGAAAATATCTTTTTTTGTGTATTTTTTTTTTTCTTAACTGGGTTTCAAAGCTAATATTTTTAGCATTATATGGACTTGTATGTATTTCATATAACGATTTATGACAAAAGTATTGCTTCTATTTTTTATTTCTTTGGATTCTGTATGACTGCCACTCTTGTGCTTATAAAAAAGCATGTTCTTTCTTCTAAACAGATCTTGTCCCGAGATAGTTTTCTGCATTTTTGTATAATTTGTTTGCTTCGATGTGTAGAGGAAAAAAAAAAGTTATAATTATATATGGATATATTTTTGCAAAAGGCTGTGTTTGCTTGCAAATATGTTGCATCAGCTCTACAAGGATGAAGAAAAATCTGAATCCTGCAGGCAGAAGATGTTCGTAATGATATATTTTACTAAGATCCTGACGCTGGTGTGACTTCTACCCTCAGATACTGTATGTGTGCCTTCTGTTGATCTTTACTGATAAAATAAACAATTTTACTCTTTTATATTGCCTGAGTGTGGATTAAAAAAATAAGAAAGTGAGCTCACTGAAGTGGGAAATATGCTGAATGCAATGCTTCTGGATCAATAGAATGACTAAAGTTTTATTTTTGCTGAAAATATAACAAAATAATTGACAGTTTTGATAACTTCATTACAATTATTTAAGCTGCACAGTTTGTGGTTAAAGCTTCTGACTTTATTTGCCATTTTTAAAGAAATCTTGAATGAATATTACATGTTTCTGATAAACATTTATTTATATATTTTCTGAAAATCCCAACTTATGCAAGTTAGAAAATCCGCTCTAGATGTGGAATCTATGGAGGGCTTTGTTTCCACTAGAGGGAGCGCTAACAAAAACGCAGAGATCTTCTAACACTATTCGGATTTACTTTTAAAAAATATATTACACGTGAGACTGAGGCTGTTTCACAATTACTGTCAGGCTAGAAATTTTTCTTTTCTTCTATATCGTCATAAAACTACGAGAATAAAGTCGTAAAATTAAGAGAAAAAAGTCATAAAATTACGAAAAACAAATTCACAACCTGAAAGTCATAAAATTACAAGAAAAAAGTTGTATTTTTTTTTGACAACTACAAGAAGCACTTTCTTCCCTAAAATGAGGAATGTTGAGCATTAAGTTATACTTTGGCTCTAGTTTGACAAATAAGAAAATCTTTTAGCACACTAGCATCAAATTGGGCAGTAGGTCAAAGTGGACTCCCGTTTGGTGATTGGTGGAGCTGGTCAAAGCTCAAAGCTTTCTTTCTGAAATGGGTTGTTGTATGATGACTTCATTCTCGTAATGTACGATTTTATTCTCGTAATGTTACTTTACTCCCATAATTTTACGACTTTATTTTCATAATTTTACGACTTTTTTCTTGTAATATTACAACTTTATTCTCGTAATGTTACTTCAATCTCGTAATGTTACTTTACTGTCTTAATTTTATGACTTTATTCTCGTAATGTTACTTTACTGTCTTAATTTTATGACTTTATTCTCGTAATGTTACTTTTCTCTCTTAATTTTATGACTTTATTCTCGTAAGGTTACAACTTTATTCTCGTAATATTACAACTTTATTCTCGTAATGTTAGCACTTTATTCTCGTAATGTTACTCTACTGTCTTAATTTTACGACTTTATTCTCATAATTTTACGACTTTATTTTCGTAATGTTACTTTTCTCTCTTAATTTTATGACTTTATTCTCGTAATTGTTATTTTACTCTCGTAATTTTACAACTTTATTCTTGTAATGTTACCACTTTATTCTCGTAATTTTACGACTTTATTCTCGTAATGTTATGACTTTATTCTCAAAATAGAAGGGAAAAAACATCTATAGCCTGGCTCTAATACTCCGTCGTACACAATATAGTATTTTTTGTCTACATTAAGTACTTTTTTTATATAGATTTATGGTAACACAAAGGCTGCACAGTGGGCAGCGCTGCTGCTTTGCAGCAAGAATGCTCTGGGTTTGATTCCCGGCCAGGGGTCTTTCTGCATGGAGTTTGCATGCTCTCCCTGTGCATGCGTGGGCTTTGTCCACAGATGCAATGGCTCTAGTTGTCATAAAAGGAACAATGGAGCAGTTCCACAACTAAACTGTATCTCTATCACCTCATATATTACATCCTTCTGTTTCTGCTGAAATTCCATCGCTGAAATAGACACCATTAAGATGTTTGTCATGAAAGGGTTAAAAATTAATGAGACTGCAGTAGGTGGCCCTTAAAAAATTAGAGCTTTGAATTTAATTTGCGGAAAACCACTTCATAATTTTTTTGGAGCTAATTGGATTGTATTTTCCAGGTAACGTAATTGTGTGCCACCCCCCCCCCCCCCCCCAAATACCATCTCATGCCATGAATTTCTCATATCATGCTACAGTAAAAGTAAAACACAACAACACTAAATACAACTTCCGAACAAATCTTTTATAAAAAAAAAAAAAAAAGTTTTAAGTCGCTTGTTTTGATGAAATACGTGTATTTTAGTATTTTCCTTCTTTTTTTAAGTTAATCCAATGGTATTTCACGCATGCAATACCGCATTAGCCTCTTAAGTTTTCATTTTTCACAGACCCCGCCCCCCAAAAAAAACAACAACACAAAAATTCCCCCAATTGTCCAGATGATGCTGCTTGGAAAAAGGGTGGTTTGGAGAAGCCACAGCATGAAGCAATGTACACAGTTTGCGGTTGCATAGTACAGTACATGAAGTTCCTCATTTTTAAAACAGCATGCTGTTTTGTATTGCACATTACTGAAACTTTGTATACTGAACCTCGCTGTAGTCTTATCATAGCACATGTATACAACAAATAGCATCTCTCAGAGGCAATATGTAAATATATTTGTTAGAAAAATAATTGGCAGGAAATATTTGTACATTATTTTCCTACTGGAATAAACTGTTGCTCTTTTGCATCTTTTGTTTTTCGGAATGAAAAATCTTCCCCCATGTGTTCTATAGGTTTGTCTGTTTTTATCCAAAAGCAAAGTACACAGAGAAGTTTTTGACCAAAAAACTCTCCAGAACGGTCTATGAAAGAGTTTTTTTTCAATATAATCTGTCTTTAGTTGCATTAAGGATGTTATAAAGAGAAGGGTGTTGGAGCTCTGGTGTGGGAATCCCTCCTGATTGTTTGAACGAGCCGA